CAGGCCCCCCGCACCACCCACCTGCCTCTGCCCTAGCCCCAGTGCACACCATGCCTGGCAGAGCGCCAGAGAAGAGCCCAAGGCAGGTTTGGACTGCCCGTCTTTTGGGAAAGCGGTGTGGGGCCCCTTTGCCCCCCCATGCAGAAGTACCCGCTCCCCACCAGCCTTATCTCCCATTATCAGCAAAGCCGGATCTAGAAAAAAACATCCCAGTTTAATGAAGAACAAGCCTGGCCTGCCTCAGGACGGCTCTTTAGGAAATGGTCCCCAGCCCCAGACAGGCAGCTGTCTCAGTCCAGCTGCCCCCAGCTGGGGCAGGGCGGCGCCCGCTTTCAAAGCGCAGGGAGGCAGAGGTGGGAGAAGACACCTGGCTGTCAGGACTGCAGAGCACCCAGCGCAGGCTCCACTCGGCCGTCAGGCACCTCTCTCCACGCAGGACGTGGCTGCGGATCCCAGCAGGAGTCAGAAGCGGCCAGGATAAGGAGGGGGACTGCTTCCTCCTCCCCAGCTCTGTAGGCGCCTGGCAGCATGGATGCTGGTACAGGATTTAGGGTCACAGGGCTCCTGTTTGCTCGCCAGCGGAACATTTCTGGGGCAGCCCACGGGGGCAGGAGGTCTCCTAGAAGGCCAGCTTCTTCATCAGCAGGTAAACTCGAGAGTCCACTTCAAACCCATGCAGGTTGTTTGCATCTCCCTGCAGCCGCATGAGCAGCCCCCCATAGGACACGTAGGCAGAGCTGGGGTGGGAGGAGTGGTGAGAATGGGGAATCCCACGTCAGACCCCAGCTGAGATCCCAGTGCCTCCCCCACACCACCCTGAAGCACCTCATCCCCTCCCCACTCCTGTCAACAGGAACTCACAGGCGCGTAGCTGCCTCTGTGGAGGTCTCATCCCCCTCGATCCTGTACACTTTGCCGTACATCACGTACTCGAACTGGTCTGCCCTGTGATGGGACAGCAGGAGCTCAGAGAAGAGTCAAACTCAGGTGTTCCCCCAGCTGAGCATCCTCTGGGAGAAGGTACCTCAGAGCACCTCAGCAATTCACCTTTTCCTTCACCCACCCCACATGGGTCCTGGCTGGACCCCCATACCTGGACGGCCTGTCGTCTGTGGGGTTATACTCGCCGTCATCCAGGGTGCCGTCTTCGTACAAGGTGCTGGCGATGACCAAGCGGAATTTGTCCCCTGGAAAGAGAGGGCAGAAGAGCACTGAGGTGGGGAGCACAGCCCAAGCAGCACTGGCCACCGCAGATCTCAGGGCGGTGGCACAGAGCCGCCCTGGCAGGTTTAGCACAAACCCTGTCCCTACCTTCAGTCCTCCAGCAAGACTGTGGGGAACAAGGAAAAGATCATACTGGATCCTTTTTCCCCATTCCTCCCAGACATTGGTCACCACCATGGAGATAGCCCAGAGCCACCAAAACACACTGCTGGTGTTTTCATGGGATACAGCAAGAGATTTATGGGGAGAATCCCAGAGGGCTTGGCTAGACCCTGGGCAGGCACATGAGACCCTGCAGCACCAGTCCCAGCCATTCTGTGCTTCACTGAGGACTCTCTTTTCCACCTGTTTAGTACATTTAGCCACATGAGCTTGTTTGAAAACGTCTCACTTAAAGCTTGGTTGCCACCAGCTGAGGCTGCTTCACTGAACAGTATCTCCGGGGAACGGGTCAGAGATGAACCCAAACAAATACAGTGAGGAGAACCAGAATCCAGCTCAGCCTCAGCATGCTGAGAATGCCCCGTACATCCTGTGACCTGGGGACAGCACAGGGGCTCAAGAAAGTCTGAGGCAGCTCATTACTTGTTCACAGCAAATTCAGTCTCCTTCCTTGGAGCACCAGCATGTGCCTCTCTAAGCTCACTCACCCAGGCTGACACTGGCTGAGGCCCAGCACACTCTGCACTAGCAGCCCAATGGCTTACCAAGGTCCACGGGGTAGATCTGGATGTTCACATCCAGGATGAGATCCATCTTGAAGGACTCACTCTCACAGTGCAGGCGGGACACTGGGGAGAGCAGCACACTCAGAGACAAGGACAGGGAAGACCCCCAGGGCCAGGCCATTCTTGTCACCACCCTAGAGTGGCACCCAAAGGGACGGGAACGGGAGCACAGGGTTGGGGGATGGATGCCAGAGCCTGGGAGCAGACTGAGGAGCGCACAGGCAGGAAAAGGAACAGGGTGGGGTGGGGAACGGAGCATACCGGGGGGCGCGGAGGAGCACAGAAGCCGGACTAGGGAAGCAAGGCGCACTGTGGTGCGGCAACACAGGGTGGGGTCGGTGC